ATGTTGGATCGGCTGAGTCGAACTCCTTCTGCACTTCGGGTCAGCCGAACATGCTGAGCATGTCCGGCCGACCCGAAGCCAGGAGAAGCAAGCCGATGTACGGCTGAAATCAGCCATACCAGCCTGAAGTGAATAGCCGAACAGTGTTCGGCTCACTTCACTTCAGGTCGGTCATTCACTCGGCTGCCTACGGCAGCTTAGTGAATAGACCCCATAGTCTCTAGATGGGGACGATTGGAGTGATTTTGAAAACACATGTCTTCTGTAATCGCCTCTAGAGACAGAATTTTGCAAGTGAAATTTTTTTACCAGGTCTATACTCCATCCCTTCTACATACATTAGGTCTCCACCATACACCGTGGTGTTTTAAGCGCTGCGGTCAAAGGGCAGATGTTTTCCACTCCTTTTGGTCTTGTCCACATATCTGTTCGCATTGGTCTGAAAACACCGCTTTTATGGAGACTGGCTTGGGTTTCCCCAATATATGCAATCCCACTTTCTGTTTATTGGGTCTTTTTGGTGAACTGATGTTGGATGCTAGGGCCCAGACCCTCATCCGTCTACTTTTGTTCTACGCTAAGAATGCCATCCTTTTGGTATGGGGCGGGCCCGCGCCCCCCTCCCTGAGTTGCTGGAAAAAACTGGTCAATCAGTCACTACCTCCTTTATAAGCTTATCTATGCGCAGAGCCCAGACTGATTTGAACGTATCTGGGGACCATGACTCTCCTCTACTGCTACAACAACTGATCCTGCATAATTGTACTTTGTGCTCTAGTATAAGGCCTGGAGCTCCATGTTCCTCTACTGGCTCCCCATGTTCATTGTATAATGGCGTGTAAGCGTGCATTTCCTATGCCTGTATTGAGACTGTAATTTATCTTTGTACTGAGACGGTGAACTCATTGTGATATTTTTCTTTGTTTTTTCTTGTGTTTTATGTCACTGGGTATGTAACCTGGATTTTTTTTCCTTTTTTTTTGGGACCTGTTTTGTATCTTTTTGTTAACTTGACAACCTAATTAAAAGCATCTTAAAAAAACCAAAACATAGTCTGAATGAAATATGCAAGAACAAGATTTAAGCAGCTAAAGAAATGTACTTGTGTTTATTATATAAACTTTGCAAAAAAATATAATGTCTTTTTTCTTGCTTCTGTAGTCTGTTCTTGGAGCCATATGTCTCATTAATTTAAAGGGAATGCTGTTGCAGTTTAAAGAAGTGCCCATACTTTGGATGAAGGATAAATTTGATTGTGTAAGTGATATAATTCTTAACTGTCATCTATATGACGCATACAAGGATTGTCCACATATGATAAGCTCCCTCATCAGGTTCTCATAATATAAGTTATCTTTTATCATGGCATTCCACATGTAACAACCCTCAAGGTTACAGACCTACTATACAGAGCTATGAAAATAACTTTAGAGATGATTCAAGCAAACCCACCAATGTACATAATTATTCCCTTATTCATTCAGCTGACTTTAAAAGTGAACGATGGCCAAGCATATAAAATACATGAGTAAACTTTTCTAACAACTAGAAAACTCATTATTTTATTTATCCCCTTTTTGTACATCATCCTGTAACAGCAGCATACTAATGTGATGAGCTCATCTTTGTGTTCCTCATCCTCTAAGCGTACTCCCTGTGTTAGACTGTCAGTACTGTACAATGGATTAGAATCTGAGTGACTGACACTGCTAGCACTCCCTCTCTCAAATTGTTACTTGTAAATCTGTTATACATTTTCTTACCTGGAGACTTACAGGGTTATTCACAAAAGGGTGAAGAGTTTGGAGAAGGCAGGAGAACTGAACAATCTAGGACAAAATAGCTGATTTGGAAAAATTCTCCAATTTAACTCGCTTTCCAGTTCAGCTATGTTATCCTAGATTGTTCACTTCTCTTCACTCCTCCTGCCTTCTCCAAACTCTTCACCCTTTTGTGAATAACCCTGTTACTGTTGCAGGCTGACAATACTGAACCACGGCCTTGCAATGAACCGTATTGTCACCCTGCTGTGTAAGCTACTTCAGTTAGCCATTGGGCTGCCTATCTGTTAGACCTGATAGGTCTGTCTATCCTTTACTGGTATTTTCTTTCCCAGTTTACATATTATAAATGTTTTTTTTAGCATGTTATAAATATGTTCCATTGTGATTTAAAATTCAGTGACAACCCTTCTTCCACATCCTACAGTTGGTCTGGGTGGTGACTTTCACAGCAGCGGTCATTCTTGGCCTTGACCTTGGACTGGCAGCAGGAGTTGGATTTGAGCTGCTGACTGTGGTTTTTAGAACACAGTTGTAAGTATATCTGCTTGTCCTATATCTTTTATCAGAAGTATACAACCCCAATTCCAAAAAAGTTGGGACACTGGGTAATATCTAACAGAATGCAATGATTTGCAAATCTCATAAACCCATATTTTATTCACAATAGAAAACATATCAAATGTTTAACCTGATAAAATGTACCATTTTTAGAAAAATTAAGGTAATTGCATTCTGTTAAGTAGACTTTACATAGCGTCCCAACTTTTTTGGAATTGGGGTTGTACAACAAATAGTCACAAGGGCTAACTTGTGCTCACAGGAAGATTTCTAAAATGTAGCTTACTGTGAGAGACCAATTAAAGTGGACTTTTAATGCCTTTCACAAAAAATCACATCAGCAAGCAGCGCTGCATGCTGATTTAAAATCATCTTAGATTCATTAATTAAACAAACTTGTTTTTCATTTACTTACAAATAGAGTATCTACTTCCTGGTCCACTTCTGGCACAAATGGTGTAATGTGCCAAAGTGTTGCCTCCTGGGAAGATTACATCAGCAGATCATTGCTAGAAAATCTCATCTGTAATTTTATGAAATCTCAGGGAAAGGTATTTTCCTCCCCTGAGATGATGTCCATGGTCATAAGTTCTAGTCACATGTGTCAGACTTCCAGGAAGTAAATGGAGATATATTAATCTGTCTTTAGTTAAAATGGCCACTGTCAGTAGAATGGAAAAGAAAAGAGAAATAAGGTATGCAAGAATACAAAGCCTGCAATTTTCTAGAAGTATGTGTTTGTAGATTGTCATTACTAAACATTTCAAAAGGTGTATTTGTTGTTATTTATAAAAAAATAATAGTGCAAAAATTAAGTCTTTTTAGAAAATATCTAAAAAAAACTCCCTCCTACTCACCATTTTAACAAGGAATCCATGATATTATCCAAGTAACTGTATAAAATAATAGTATAACATTGTACAATTAGATAACAAGTTAATCTATAGTTTAACAGAAAATCTGTTCCATTGGTTTTTCAAAGAAATGCCGATCTGCAATGGCCAAACAGCATGTCTGGGGAATGTACAGAAACCAAAAACAATGCACTGTCCAAAAGTGTTCAAATGTGTTCAAATAAAAACAAACCAAAAGCACTGAAAATAACAAAGTGATACAACTAACTTATGTTTGAGAATATCTGGGGGATGTGACACCTAGAGGGCGCTCATTGCTTAGTGCAGAGAATCTACTCTAAAAATCTGTGTTCATTCAGTGCACATATAACCCCTTGTGAAATATAAGAGTTTGTCTTTCATACAGCTATTGTGCATATTTTCTATTGGCATACATAATTTAGTTATATTATGTTGTACAGAAGTAATATATTATGCTTCCATTTTTTTTTTTTTAAGCCCAAAATGCACACTCGTGGCAAGAGTTGGTAAAAGCAACATTTATAGGAACCGAAAGGACTACTTGGATGTGAGTGCAACTACTCTATACTGTGTGTGTGTGTGTGTGTGTGTGTGTGTGTGTGTGTGTGTGTGTATGTATGTTATGTATATATGTATGTATGTGTGTTTGTCACTCTGCCTCTATCTGTTATTTCATTTGATATAAACGGAATTATCGGTTTCTTGATAGACCTTTGAGCCAGAGGGAATGAAAATCTTCAGATGCCCATCGCCTATCTTTTTCGCTAACGCGGGATTTTTTAAAGATAAGCTCACCTCTGCTGTAAGTTTGCACTTGTTTTGTCAGAAATGGCAATATACTGGAGGGAATTTATTAAACTGGAGCCGACAGAATCTGGAGCAGTTGCTCATGGCAACCAATCAGCTTCCCTCTTTAGTTTGCTCAGTTAAGCTTTAAAAATAAAAGATAGGAGCTGATTCGCTCCCATGGGCAACTGCTCCAGATTTTGTCTGCTCCAGTTTTTATACATTCCCCTAACACTGTTTTTATATATACACTGTGTTACCAAAAGTATTGGGACGCCTGCCTTTACACGCACATGAACTCTAATGGCATCCTAATCTTAGTCCATAGGGTTCAATATTGAGTTGGCCCACCCTTTGCAGCTATAACAGCTTCAACTCTTCTGGGAAGGCGTCCACAAGGTTTAGGAGTGTGTCTATGGGAATGTTTGACCATTCTTCCAGAAGCGCATTTGTGAGGTCAGGTACTGATGTTGGACAAGAAGTCCTGGCTCGCATTCTCCACTCTAATTCATCCCAAAGGTGTTCTATCGGGTTGAGGTCAGGACTCTGTGCAGGCCAGTGAAGTTCCTCCACCCAAAACTCGCTCATCTATGTATTTATGGACCTTGCTTTGTGCACTGGTGCGCAGTCATGGTGGAACAGGAAGGGGCCATCCCCAAACTGTTCCCACAATGTTAGGAGCACGAAATTGTCCAAAATGTCTTGGTATGCTGATGCCTTAAGAGTTCCCTTCACTGGAACTAAGGGGCCAAGCCCAACCCCTGGAAATCAACCCTACACCATAATCCCCCCCACACCAAACTTTTACACTTGTACACAATGCACAATGAGAAGTTGCCAGGAGAAGTACCGTTCCAAAGTACCAAACCCAGACACGTCCATCGGATTGCCAGACAGAGAAGCGTGGTTCGTCACTCCAGAAAACATGTCTAGACTTCTCTATATGCTTGTTCTTCACAGGTTGGCTTTAATCCAGTGAGAGTTCTGCACAAACGGAATAAGGCTTTGAGAAAAATTAGAAAGTTACTTAATAAAGGAATCCTGCAGTTTTCACCAGTAAGTCTGTTTGTCTACTGTCTAATCTGTGTTATACCGGTTTAATCAATAGTAAGTAAGCGATAACTATAATGCAGGACTGGACAAATGTCAGGAGCCAGATCTCCAATGCTTCTTAAAAATGACAGCTGGCATATAACTTTTGATGTTTTCTCTAGTTGCTCTAGTTGTTTTAGCTGAATCCTAAAACAAAATTGCTGACTAAGGAATTGGACAGAGAGGCTCCTTTTATTCCATATTATTTTGTCCACCCCTGCTATAAAAGTTCATGCACATGAGCACCTGGGGCCAAACCACATAACGTTCAGCCATATTTCTTCACCCAGTAGTCACAGGTAATGCATACAGCTGCCCAGAGAGATCAATTGCTGTATATGGCTGTACTCAGGTATATATTGGTACTTGCAAAAAGAAATGCATGTGTATGGATGTACAACCCTGAATGCAGACAGTCTGAAGCTGGTGTTGTATGTCCATGTCCATGCCCATGCTCACCGGCATATACCTACGTACAGCCATTAATTTCTATAGGTAGCTGTACGCAGCAATATGCCCAAATTGTACGCTGAACCCCCCCCCCCCCCCCCCCTCCCGCCGGGCCACCAAAAACCAAAGCACCATTTCCAATTTACTTGGTTTGCAAGGACTGAGATTCAATAACAACTGTGGAGCCAATGCTAAGAGGTACTGTATATTCATAAAGAAAAGAATGTGACATTCACTGCCGGTGAATTTTCATGGTGCATGCATTCTAGATTACAGAGATTTATTCACCAGCAGCAAACGTTTGGGAAACGTCACATTCACTACTATATAAGCATACCTTAAATGTTGAATAAGCTTGACATACTTGCTAAATAGGAGATTACGTACAATTCCACTTGGCTGGATATAGCTATCATTTGCATAGCATTAGTGGTCTATTAAGAGCTCTTTAATGCATTGTGAATAGATATTTAATTAGCCTGCACAATGTCTCATGTTTCATGTGGATGTAAAATACAATTGGCTGAGTGTAGGTAATTTATACCTTATCACATTACAGAAGGGTGTATTATGCACGTCTTATCAGTACATGGATTCTTATGATGATCTGGACAATATGAGGGTGGAGGAGCTGAACAATCGCATCAACACTGATGACCTTCCGTATACCATAGATTGGAACTGTGAGCTGCAACACAATATTGAAGTGCCCAAGCTCAATCTCCACACATTAATTCTCGACTTTGGAGCAGTTTCGTTCATAGATGTGTCTGGGATGAAAAGTCTGAAAACAGTAAGAATGTCCTTTATTTGTCTTAGTAGTATTTATAACAACATATCTATACAGCATGAGCAAAGCATTCTATGAAATATATTCTCTTGTCATGTTGCCTTTCAGTCTTAAATTTGGTGAATTTTCTATTGAGGCCATTGTATTATTATTATTACTGAAACCATTTACAAATTCCCAGATAGTGAAATTCAGTACCTCATAAATATTCACTCTCTGGTTACAAGGGGTCCTCCAGTCTATTCCTGCCATAAGCTATTCTGTCTTGTAGTACTGGGGTCCTTTGTTCAACTCTCAGTCAGGACACTATATGCATGGAGTTTGTATGTTCTCCCAATGCTTGTGTGGGTTTCCTCCCACACTCCAAAGACATACCGGTAGATTGAGGTTCCTGTCTAAATTGCCCTAGTTTGTGTGTCTATGTATGCATGTGAGGTAGGGACCTTAGATTGTAAGCTCCTAGAGTGCAGGGACTCATGGGACTTATGGATGAGCTCAGATTCAGCATGAACTCCTCCAAATAAGGTAGTGGCATGTGCACTTCCACCCAATCAGCTGCAGGCTGGGTATTCCCCACCCCGCAGCTGCATGTACAAAAAGGGGCTGGATTCTTGATCTGACATCATTGACCTTATATGGCCACATAGCCATATTAGTTAAATGTAATTTAACAAATATAGGCATGTACACATAGAATGTCACTGATGTCACTGAATCCCGCCCCTTTGCTTACATCAAACTGTGGGTGGGGAATTCTCAGCTCACAGCTGATTGGGCAGCACAGAAGGAGCTAATGAGAATGTACAGTATGTAAAGCACGGTGTAAACTGATGGCACAAAATACATTCATGTAATAAATCATTTTTCCTCAATGCCTTAAAGCTGAACTCTGGCTTAGGTTAGAAATAACCCTTGCAGTTTTACCCCGGACATGGCCTTTAACTCTTGTTGTGGGGGGTGGGCAGGCAAGGGTAACTAACCCAGCGTTCAGCGTTAATTCTAAGTAACAATTTTTTATCTATATAAAGCCAAAACTTTTTTTAGCAGGGAAGGATTTTACTCCTTTTGTACCACCACTGCGGGGAGATTAACCCTCTCTATGTACCCTAATATCTTTTCTCATCAGGGTTGAAAGTGAGGGAAAATACAACATTTTAACTTGTCACCAGAACAGAAATAAAGGAAACATGTTGCAAAGGGGAAACTTATAGTGACATTGTTAGATTATCTCTTAACTTTGGGGAAATTTCATCTTACTTCCTGCTGTGTATTCCGGACAGGAAGTGAAGTGACATCCCAATGGAACACAGACCTGGAAAAAAAACTAATGAGGTTTCCGTCTCTACTCTGTCCAACAGTAAAATAAAATGTTGGTGTCAGATATACTTTAAGGTTTATGAAACTAAGGTATGTTGTCCTTTTTTTCATGTCTAGCCATGGCTGCTTATTAATTATTTCTTAGTTTGTGTCTGATCATGCAATGCATATGAGTCTCCGAATTACATTTTAATAAAAACTAGAGACAAATTAATCAGTTGAGAAATCTCAAAAGATTTCTTGAATCTGATCCAGATGCTAGTAAGTAGAATCAAGCCTTTGTAATGAGTGATGTATATAAATCTAGATTCAAGCAGTGTAAGATTAGTCATGATAAGGATTGGCTCACTGATCTTGTTATGTATTTATTTAGTAAATTAATTTCAGATGATGGATGTAAGACAATACTAGTCTTGTAATATACGTTTTTTTTGTAATTTTCAGATTTTAAAGGACTATTTGACAATCGAAGTTGATGTATACATTGCTAATATTGATAGTAAGTTTGTTGTACATTAAACTGTTTCTTCCTTCTCACTTTAGACTGCAACATATACCGTAATGCATTCAACACATTTAATTTTATATAATTTATTAAAGAACAAAATGGGCTTTACTTTGATGTCACGTATACATATATAAATTCTTATATTTTTGATAAATAAAAAAAAAATTAAACAACATTTTCACAGCTTTGGCAATATTAATGTGTACATATGTAGTGTAGTTAACAAAGTAATTCATAATAAAGTATTTTATTTGTCCTGATGTATAGGGTATATCATAGTCTGGGATTTCCGTTTGGGAGCTATAGGTCACAAAATACAAAAAGTGAAATATAATTTTAGTGTGGAACAATTTTAGAATGTGGTATGTTTTTCTCCGATCATTAATAGCCTCCTTGGCACTGTATTTTCTTATAATTTTATTAAAGGTATTTTTTTTATTTTTAACTTTTTTCCTTTTCAATTTTTAAAAATGTTAAAAACGTAATTTTTTTATTTAATTTTTTAAACTAGGGGGCACTAAGGGGTTGTTTTTTTTTATTTTATTTACAGGGGCTTTGATACTTTGATACTAGTATCGCTGAGTGGAATACAGTATTCTCCTCCAGAGATACTTTGTATCACTTTTGTAACATATAGCCGGCTGGCAGTTTACAAAACACAGTGAGCAGCTGCCGGCTGTGTGACTGTCACAGCTCTGCGATGACAGCAATCAGCTCTCGCTGTGATCACAGGACTGTGACCACCTAATCTGCTGTTGAGGGTCTGCCTTGGATCCCGAGGGACCCATCAATAGCAGTAACTGAATATGCTGCTGGTCCCTTTTACGGGCCAGTGCTCATTGTACCAATTGATGGAATTATCGTTTAATACACAGAACAGGGCTAATACAAGAGTGACAATGCAATTCATATGGATAAATAGCATCCACACTGCTGGGCCAAAGTATAAGCTGCAGAGGCAAATGCTAACTTACTAACAAATGCTAACAATGATCTGTAGCATTAGACAAGACATAGAAGGTTATAAGGGTTTCTGGAGGGGTGTAAATGACCGTCCAAGAGAGATATTTTAAAGGAAAATACAAAATTTATTGCTAATACATGCTTGATTAATTGCATACATGATTCAAAACGGGGACATTGCATACATGATTCAAAACGGGGACTGCCATTATTGCAATACATGATTCCTAGCGGGGACTGCCACGGGATGCTACAGGCTAGTTTCTGCACTCCAGAGTGAAAGCAGCAATCACACGAACCACAAATATCGATCTGAGAGAACCAATACTCCTGGCGACTGCGATTGGACGACTCGATACCGCATTTAGGTTCCTCCCCAAAGGACCCCGGGGCCCCAGGTGTGACAAACCAATCTTCCTTATCCAACAAAGACCCCATCGGTTCCGCAGCTGTGATCCAGTTAGATACTTAGCACTGGTCCAGCCTTGACACCAAGCAAGCAGTGGAGGCAACGGGGGGTTTACTCCCCGCACGCTCCTGACTGGCTTCCTGGGCACTTCTCCCTCATACCGTGGATCAACCCGGCATGATTCATCCTATATCGGTCCCCTGATGAAGCCCATGGCGAAACGCGTCGGGGCCTATTAAGTTAAGCTATGCTTTGAAAACTACCATCTGGTTATAATAATTTAACCACATCTGAATTACATTGAACAACATAATGAATTGTCGGACCAAATGAATTTTAGAGTTGTTAATAATGAATATAACAATGTATCCTCCGCAGGGTTTTGATTTTTAATAAGATTGTTTTGAATCATGTATGCAATTAATCAAGCATGTATTAGCAATACATTTTGTATATTCCTTTAAAATATCTCTCTTGGACGGTCATTTACACACCTCCAGAAACCCTTATAACCTTCTATGTCTTGTCTAATTATGCAATTAGGGGGAGAGGTGTAAAACTAGGTATACACAGGGGGACTACCCATAATTTAGTAAAAATGATCTGTAGCAGCCTACTGTCTGCTACAAGGATGAAGTCTAAGAGAACATGGAGAAGAAGCAAGGGTCTATCTAAAGACTATACTGCTTAGCACTAAACAGGAGGGGAGAACAGAAGGAGATACCAACTGGACATAAGTTGCTGTAATGCTGAGCTACCACTAGAAGTTATCATAAACTACAACATTAATAATCTAAAATTCAATCTAATAACAACAACATAGAAAATATAATAGGTGGGACATAGCACATCACTGTCTCTAAACGTCGAACACTACATCTTATGCAGTAGTAAAAGTTGCAGCTTCGGATATTGAAACCTGCTTTGCACTGGTAGCTATAAGTGGGTCTGAAAAAAGCAACTCTATACCTGTGCTCAAGAGTATGGAGAGATATAAATCAGGACCAGTAGCGGGCAGTTTTAATACCCCTGTGACTGCTACCTTCTGTTAGGCAGGGCATGCTGCTTAACACTTTCTAATATTTACCTTTATTATTTTATCCTGTGTGTTCTTATGAGACGTGGTACAGACATGAGTCATCCAAAGGCACAGTTAGGAAAGTTTGTTTAGATTAAAAATGCACCAAATGTAATTAATGCAACTACCTAAAGTGGAAATCAAGGTGATTGTCCTTTCATCCATGGCAATCTGTCTGTACTCTAAATCAGTGGTCCTTACCTGTGTAATCTTAGAACCCACATTTGTCCTTGGTCATTAAATTGCACCATATTGGAACGCAGGGCATTGCGTTAATACACATTCCGGCGCAGGCGATCGAACTGTGGGCAGGAGGTGCGTTTGGGGTGGCATTCAAATAAATGGCAACACAATGCACCTCCCACACCAGAATGCGTGGTAGGTGTGATTGCATGGGACAGTGTGTTAATCACACGGGACTGTACGATTAATGCACTGTACTAGTGTGAACACACTCAAAAAAAATATTATTTTTTTTTTATACACCCAGTCTCCCTACCTTATGAGACACTCAGCACCAGGCAGCATATTTTGAATGGCTGCTCGGTGCAAGAACTGGTAGTGCTGCAAAAGGGGGAGGCTGATGAGCCTCTCACCTAGCGCAGTGGAAGGCATGCGATGACCCACTGAACACAGAGTTGTGTCCCACCAGTTGAGAACTATGGCTCTAAATCATTGTGTCATTCCTTATTCAGTAATTCCCTGCAGCCAATATTATTGTCAATTTACTCTTTAAATGCTGGTCATCTACAGGGTAACAGCTCCACTGTAATTTTCTGGTGGCTCCGCATTAAAATAGCAGCAATTGAGTGACTTTGGTGCTACCATTTATCAGACACTACAGAGTAACAAGTTTTAGAAGCTACTGGTGCAGTTTGTAGTAAGTAAATAAAGCCTCCAATATCTACATTAAATATCGACCTGCCCCTTTAGCCTGAATAATGGCTTTCTTCTACTGGTGGTACCTGCTGCAATGTCTTCCCACAACCCCATCTAATCTTCACTGCTGCCCTGATGTCACTTATTAATCCAGGTAATGTAGATCCTATAAGGTCCCTCTTCCCAGGGCGAAATATTTTAAAAAATAGAGAGTAACTGGGAAATGTGAAGATAGCTTCAGTAGGGATGCAGTAGGAAAATGGCACTTTTGGTTAAATGCAGAAAGTGCCATTTTCCTGCCGATACATCGGCGGGGAGGAGAGAAAGTGACAGCCGGCTGAGCGCTGCGGGAGGAGAACGCTGTGAGCGTCTGGTGTCTCTCCTCCCACACCGCTCGGCCGCCTATCACAGTGCGGCAGAGCGGTGTGGGGGCGGAGACAGCCAGTGTTTGTAGATAATTGAAGATATGGTATGTGGACTATATGTAATATTAAAACATTTTGAAAAAATTAAAATAAAAACATTTTCGGTATCGGTTTCGGCATGACAATGTTTTTTATTTCGGTTTCGTTTCGGTTTTTAAATGTCTATTTCGGCGCACCTCTAAGCTTCAGTGAACAATTTTAAGTACCAGAACACTTTTCAGTACCTTCCATTTGTTTTTAATTGCATTGTAAAGATGTCTCTTTATTAGGGCCTGTTTTCTGTAAGCCTTAACTTCCACATTTAGAGCCAATCTCTGGGCAAATCAAAAAACTTCCATTTCAGTGGGGCAACCCCACACACTGTAAGAGTTAAGTGCATGTTTATGCCTAGGGGACTAAAGTAAAACAGATTTGCTTACCTGATCCCCCTCTTCCCTGGCAGTCTTTGCTTACCGCACTGCCCTCCACTCTGGCTGGTGGAATGTCCCTCATATGCCCTCATGTCTATCGGGGATCAGGTAAGTAAATGTGCTTCACTCCATCCCCTAGGCAGAAAGAAGCACTTAAAGAATATAAGAATATTTTTTATTAACCTTTGTAGTGGACTGCAAGGGCTAACAGCTCATTTTGCTCTTAGACCACTCTCTGGAGCCTCTCCCCCCTCTGCTGCAGCAGTCTAAGGTCCCACAAACATCATGTCTGTACACTGTGTATAGGACCTGAGGACATTCTACTGCTGCAGTGTAGGAGAAGACAGACTTCAGGAAAGGCTGTCATAGCCTGCTTGCTTGGAGGAGTAGGTGAGTATATCTTTGTTAATTTAAACCCTAGCCAAACATGAGCAGTTAACACTTGCAGTACGAGGTTAGTCCCACTGCAAGGTTTAATAAAAAAATAACCCAGAGTTCCTCTTTAGCTCTTGCAGTGCCGAGGTAGCCCCACTGCAAGGGTAGTTTTTTGGTTTGCCCGGAGATGGGCTTTAAGTGTGGCATAAAAACACAAAGAAAGGCGAGCGCACAGCTGGTATGGACTATGACGGGTGGATAGATATATTTAAAACCTACACTAACCAAGAAAGCCAACAATGGTGGGACATTGCATTTTTAAACAAATATATTGAACTTGGCATCACCCCGAGAGGCCTAAGAATCCCCAAAACGTGTGATTTTCTTGATCCGGATCTTTCAGCAAATTGGCACCTCCTCTCTGAATTTTGTACCAAAAAATGGATAGAACTTATAATCACACAAAGAGAGCGTAAACTAAAAGACATAACATCAAAAGTCACGAACCTCCTAACCAACATCAAAGACTCCTTTGACAGTTCATGCCTTTACGCCCCATGGATGACAAACTTAACACACAACACCACCAGATTTGAAAATAACATCATATATTCCAAAGCCAGAAAATTAAAGAGGGACATCACCGATTATAATCTAAACAGAGTTTTCCATTGGAAGAAAACCCGTATGACCACCACAGCCAAACCACATCCCGTCCCCTTATTATCCATACATCCCATAGCCACAAACAGATCAAACCATATGAAAACACATACAGAGGAGACTTTCCCCACATCAGCGGCTTCTAGTCACAAGCACTGAATCAATTGACCAATCACATGTCTTTAGGATCGGCAACCACGCCCACCTGTCACTTTTAAACCGCTGCTTCTCCCGCCCGCACTAGCAAACCACTTCAGGCTTGATAAAGAGGTCTTGTACCTCGAAACGCGTAGCCAATCCTCCATCCTACGGACCGCAGTGTCCGTCAGCATTGAGCCCACTGCCAAGACAATCTAGCAGCACGATCGCTCATTCAAAAGATACCGCTACACAGCGGCACTCCTGCTCCCGTTCAGCCGACGAGTGGCAGCCTGGCCAGCTGCGCTCTTATTGCACCTGACGGCGAGCCTCACGGCAAACGTCATAGTTCACCCTGCCTAACTGACCCTCCAGCCACATCAACCACAGACGAACAACAACAGATTGACCCAGAATCATGTAGTCCGTTCTACACACCCACACCAACCAGCCACAGATACTGCCCAGCACTCTAAGCCGACACACTGCTTTCAGAGCTCTACCGTGAAGACTCCAGCTCGTCCGTCTGAAACCCGTGCTCTATACCCACAAGGACTGGTCAGAGTTACTCCTGAGCGTTCTAATCAACTGTAAGATTTTATCCCCTCTTCCAAAACAGTGAGTTTTCATTTTTATAATTCTTTTAAATGTCATACCTATACCGTTCCAGCAAATCCCAGGGTTGCAGCGCTTCTTTCCACCTTTTCTTTAAGTGTGGCATACACTGCTTATTTACTTCTGCTCCTTTGTTAGGCTTTGCTTTTGCTGTGTTACATCATGTAAAGCAAAGTATACTATTCAATAAAAAAAACAAATTTCCTTAAAATGCTTCCTATGCATATTTTTTTAAATGTTCTCCTTATTCTTTTATAGGTACTGTGTTGGATAAGCTAAATCACTGTGGTTTCTTTGATGACAGTATCCAGACTGCTATATTGTTCCCCACAATCCATGATGCTGTGCTGTATGCACTATCCAGAAGAAGCATGCCTTATTCCCATAATCGCCAAACTGTAAAGGTAAACAATATGCTGTAATTTCTGGCAGCATCGTTGTACCTTAGTTATGTATAAACAATTAAATGTAACACACAGCAATTTTCTGATACCAGGAGAAAGAATTTGGCATATATGAAAATGGATACCTAAATGGAAACATACGCAGTAGAGAACATTCTGTGAGTAAATTTTAAAAGAAGATGTTCATGTAAATGATGTTTCCTGTTGTCTACAAAAACCTATTTGGTCCCTGATGATTGTTACCAATGTGTATGTATAAAAAAGACACAGATTTAAAGTGACAATAGCCACTTAAAAACCAGGGTGTTTACACCCCCTTCCTGGCCAGGCCATTTTTTCAGTATTCAGCGGTGCAGTACTTTGACATTTATTCCGTCATGGAACGCTGTACTGAAATGAATTTGATACCGTTTTTGGGGACAGATAGATCTTTCTTTTGGTGGTATTTAATCACCACTGGGGTTTTAAATTTTTACTATATACAGCAAAAAGTACTGAATTTTCCCTTTATCATGTTAGGAAACATTTATTATTATCCAATTGTTTGGTAAAATATAAAAGATGGGGTCACGTTGGGTAAATAGATACCAAACATGTCAAGACTTAAAATTGCGCACGACCGCGAAGTCGCAAAAAATCGACCACACCCAAAATTGGCCATAGGCGACGTTTTAAAATCTTTTACCGCTCATCAATTTAGTGTTAACAGTGATTAATGGTCCTAAAATTATTGCTCATACTCTGACGTTCGCAATGATGTGAAACAAGTGCGGCGTAATGGGCGCTATCGCATTTTTGCGCATCTATGTGGGGGACTTTAAAAAATTGTGGAAGTTTTTGTGCGTAAATTTAATTTTTTGTGACCAATTTTTGTTAACTTTTTTTTTTACACTTAACTTTATTGTTATCACATAGGGGGATAAGAATCCCCCATGTGATATCAAATTACAGTGACAAGTCCTTTTTATGGAGACATCAGGGGTCTCTACCCCTAATCCCCATAATGTCACCTAGGTACCCCCAAAGAAGCTGATGAAGCAGAGATCTGCTTCACCAGCTTCTCTCTGGCTTCTGTAGCTGGAGAGTGACAGCTGAATGTGGAAGTGATGTAATAAACATCTCTTCCTGCATTCATAGAACAGGGAGGAGAGCAGAGGTTGATTGTGTACTGATCTCCCTCTGTTTTCCGTGCACGTAGCCACACTGCTGGTCCCGGATCGGACGCCCATGATCGTGGCAACGGCCGGGACGGTGAGGAGAGGCGGGGGGCACAGAGAAGTGTATTATACAAGGGATCAGGCGTCTTTACAGATTGTATGTAAACAGCCATCACTGGCTGTCTCAAATTCTGTCAGTTCCCCGCTCATGCGCACCAGGGGGTGCGAGCGGGCACGAGGGACATTTAAAAATGGCAACCAGCTGCCAAAAGGCGCCTGTCCGGCCATTTCTGAATGTTCGGCGGACAGGAGGTGGTTAAAGTCTCATTTTGTTTGCTGTAGCAAGCAGTAGATATATGCAAACAAATTTTTTTTTAAAGTTACCAAATAGGTAAAAACTTACCTCTGTCTCCGTCGCTCACTCCGGCTGTAGAACTGTAGCTTCTCGAGCGGCCATGCAGGAGGATGTGTCTAAGTCTAACAGACTTAGAAGACATATCATGCTCTTGAAAGGCTTTGGCGTAAATGCAGTACCTGCCTCCACTCCCTTCTTAACAAAGGATACTGCACAGCTTCTAATTCACTCCCTTATGATATCTCGCATTAACTACTGCAACTCCCTCCTTGTTGGCCTTCCACTAAGCAGGCTATCCCCTCTTCAATCCATTATGAATGTCGCTGCCAGACTCATCCACCTTACCGACCGATCAGTGTCCGCCAGCCCCCTCTGCCAATCGCTCCACTGGCTCCCACTTCCCCCAACATAAAAAATTCAAAATACTAACAATAACCTACAAAGCCATCTACAACTCCACCACAACTTGCATCACCCACCTCATCTCAAAATATCACCCAAACCACCCCCTTCGCTCTTCTCAAGACCTCCTGCTCTCCAGCTCTCTCCACCTCCCTCGCATGCTCGCCTCCAGGACTTTTCCATATTATCTCTTATTCTCTGGAACCAATCTGTCCGTTTATCTCCTACTGTCTACCTTAAGGTTATCCTTAAACTCATCTCTTCAGGGAGGCCTATTTTACCTCGATATAACAATACTTTCAATTATTTTATTAAAACATCCCATACAATTATTACCTTTTGTATCAATTGCCCCTCCTAGTAGATTGTAAGCTCTCACCAGCAGGGCCCTCCTACCTCCTGTACTGAAATTGTATTGTTAATTGTATTGTCTCCCTCAATTTTGTAAAGCGTTGCGTAAACTGTTGGCGCTATATAAATCCTGTATAATAATAATAATGTGCAAAGATGCTTAAGTCACACTCTTAATACATATTTTTTCTTGTTTTCAGATGCTACGTGAAACACAATTTTAATTTGTGGATAAAGGCCATGTGTATAAAAAAACAACAACATTCATATTTCTATTTCTTCACATGAACTCCTGGTCCTGGATATAACATTTTGTCACACTTAGTGGCTATATTGATTTCAGGCAAGATATGCCTGCAACCATATAATGATCAAACCATACTAAGACACGGGAAGGAATGAAGAATAAATCCTGAAATTCCAAAAACACAGCACTTTTTATACAAGAAAGCCTAGCAAGCACCTAAAAATTGGTCTTGGTCAGTGGATTTAATCATAAACTCTATGGCCAAAAGTTTGTGGATGCCTGACAATCACACCTATAAAAGTGTGTTAAACATCCCATTTTGTGTTTGTTAGAATTTGTGCCTTTTTACCCAAAAGAACATTTGTGAGGTTATGCACTGATTTTAAATGGGAGGACCTGGCTCACAATCGGCATTTTGATTTATCCTAAAGTTGTTCAGTAAGGTTATAGTCAGGCCTTTGTGAAGGCAACTTGAATTCCTCCAAGGCAAACTCCATCAGATCTTGTCTTGGACTTACAATATGTAGAATATGTTTTGCTCCAGCACTCAAGGAATCCCCCAACCAGTCCAGCAGTCATGGGCATGTTGGGTGCCAAACACATGAGACCACCTCAGATTCATAGACAATTCACGCATACCTTTGTCACTCCAGCTGTTGTGGAACTACAAGTCTCATTAGGCATTTTATGATTCTGACAATGTAGTCAAAGCCGCCGGATCCACACAATAATGATTCATAAACGTGTGGCGAGATGACCAAGTGGCTGCTTTGCAGACCGTCTCCAGAGACACTCGATTCGCAGCCGCCCAGGAAGTGGAGAGACTCCTCGTGGAATGTGCTGCAATGGCAGAAGGTACCGGCAGATGGTTGGCTTCGTAAGCCAACGTGATAGTCTTTACCACCCATGAGGCAATGAGTCTGCTGGACGCCTTAGCGCCCTTTCTAGCCCCCGTGGGCACCACAAAAAGATGGTCAGTAGACCGTAATTCTCCGGTTGCCAGAACATACTCATGCAGCGTCCCTGCGACATCCAACCGACTCAGGCGAGGATCATCATTGGGCCGAAAAGCAGGCAGAACAATCTCTTGTCGCATATGGAAATCGGTCACAGCCTTGGGTATGAACCCCAGCATGGGAACTAGGACTACCCTATCTGCCAGGAAGGTTGTAAAGGGCTCTTTAAACCCCAAAGCGGCCAGTTCCGAAACCCTCCGAGCCGAGGTGATGGCAACCAAGAAGGCTGTCTTCAGCGTAAGGTGCCACAGAGACAGTGAATCTCCAAAGTCGTCTGACGCCAGAAAATCTAGCAGAAGAGGAAGGTCCCATTTAGGGAACACTCGTGCCCTTGGCGGTCTGACACGTACTGCAGCCTTAAAGAACTGAACCACCTCCTTCTTGGCTCTAGAAAAGTTAGAGGAAGGTCGCCAAGGGCGACGAAACTCTTTCCCCGGTTTGTAGGTCCGGGCCTCCTTCCCTCTGTTGAACGATTCCTTCCGGAACAGAGCGTTTTTTTGCTTCATTAGTCTCCGATCTTGCGGAATAAAACCCGACTTTCCACCAGTGGCTTTGGCTATAGCAGTGTCCAGTTTGTTGCCAAACAGAGTTTGACCCTCAAATGGGATTTTACACCACCCCTGCTTAGAGGTGGGATCAGACACCCATGGTCTGAGCCACAAGGCCCTTCTGTCCGTAACTGCCGACAACATAACCCTGGCTGAGGATTCTAATAAAATCCACCGAAGCCTCTGCAAAAAAGGCTGATGACAACCTGTTCCGCAGAATAGACAGGATCTCAGTCTTACCCAGATCGTCCGAGACAGCGGCTTCCGCGCTGTCGACCCACGCCTCCAAAGCCTTGGAGGTTGCCGCCATGGCCACAGCGGGCTTACAGCCCCCCCGATCTAACACGTCTTTAAACGTGACGGCATCGTCCAAGGGCAATGTGACATGCCTTGCCAGTCTCATGAGGGCTGCGTCCACGACAGGAGACTCCTCCAACTGCTTGAAATCCTCTTTTTTAAAGGGATACAGCTTGGAAAACCTATTGCGGAAGGAAGCCTTCCGCTCGACCTGGCGCCATTCTTTGATCTCATCCATGAAGGGAAAAGACAACATTTCCTTTCGAACATGCTTGAAATAGCGTATTTTCTTATCTGGTTGCTCCACAGCCTCTTCCCAAAGAAGAGCCTGACGAACAGCTTTAACGAAGGGTTGGACTAAAGCAAAATCAAACCCTTCGAACTGGTCATCCTCATCCTCCGAGGAGGAAGAATTAGAATGAGGTTCAGAAGAAACATGGCCCTTACTGGAGCCGACCGTTCCCGACGGCCCAGGCCTTGCCCCGGACACTGGCCTCTGACTTGGCTCGCCCTGCTGCAGAATTTGAGCTGCAGAGAACTCCTTTAAGGTGTCCTGAAAAACCGTCTTCATTAAAGACATGACCTGAGAGGTGTCCGCATCTTTGTCCTTAGTGGCCTCAAAAAAGC